ATTAGAATATTTTTTATTTAAAAACCGGTGAGTTTTTCGGAAAAACTCTTAAAACACGTATTTTTTATTATGTTGTTTTACATATTTTAAGATTTCTTAAAAATATATACAGGGTGTTTCATAAAATATGAGCATTGAGTAATCACTATTCTGCTTAAACTGCTTGACATTTAAAGCTGATTTTTGGCAAACGGATTGACTGTGGGGTTGAGGTTCGATAAGGAGGGGTTTCTCGAATGTCAAATTCCAACAGGGTGAAAACGCCCCTCAAATATTACAATATTTTTTATTTAACGGGAAAACACCTGGACACCCATAATTTATTTTGTTCTTTTACATATTTTGAAATTTTTAACAAAATCATACAGGGTGCAACCAAAAAGTTGAGTAATTGATTAACCACGATTCTGCTTAAACTGCTCGACGTTTAAAGCTTATTTTTGGCAAATGTGAAAAAATTTTATCCAGTTTGTATGTTAATGGAAATTCTTGTTTTGCTTTATCATCACCATTAGAAATTATTAATTCGACGCGAACACACGCTAGTCGCGGGTACACGTTAGATTAAGTGTAAAATTAATTCGAACTCTAGTGTGTAGTTGGTTTACTTATGAAGAATATACTACACATTTTCTTATATTGCTATTTTTTGACCGCAAATGGTAAAATCATAACTAAAAGCTTCTCGTCCGTCGAGTGAGATGCACCCTGTACACTGCTACGCAATTCAGGATCTACGCGGATCGAGGGGCAGGGCGTAGGTAGATCGGAATGTATAGGTATAGACGAGTGGCGGAATTTTGGCTTTTTTATATCGCAATTTGTAAACAGCGCTTATTTGTAAACAACCTCCGTTTTTAGAGAGGTATTTTAGATAACAATCGATATTTAAAAATGTTTTGACACCCTGGAAATACTACCACCGAGCACGTCATTGTTGCAACTTGCAACTGCGTTAATACGCCTGGCGGTGACCGCCTCATACTCTTTCATATATTTAGCAGTAAAATAAAGAAACTTGTTATTTTTAAGCTGTTATTTTAAGCTGTTTTTTATAAATAACTATAACAGTTTCAACTGTTATCTAAAATAACAGTTTTGCCCATCACTACCCCTCTAGTATTTACTACATTTTTTGGCTCTTGTAAAAAAAACGCTACATCGCATAATTTTTATAAAAAAAAAATTGGAGAATTTATTTTGCCAAAGCCGATGTCTAAAGAATATAAGGACATGTAACGCCCATATACGAGCTGCAGCAGAATTTGTGACATTAAACGCCATTTTTTTGATGGCGACGAATCCTCAGCTGGTCATCAGCGACAATTTTAGCGATTTTTAATATTTTGTGTATAGTGAACTTTGTATAAACTTTATTACAGTGGCGATTAGTTGTTCAGCTTTCAAGTGTAAAAGCCGCAGTGATAAAAAAGAGCCAGTAGTTACGTTTTTTCATAGGTAAATAAACAGTCTGCTCCACCGTTTTAGCGTTTTCTTGATTTCTTATTGAATTCGATAATTATTTTTCTGATATTATATGTACTTGATGTGTGCTATACGTCGATAACAGTTTTGTACATTTTGTTAACATTTTAATACGTTTTTTTTCGTAATTAATTAGTATGATACCACCGTATACACCATAGGCGTAGTCAAAACAGTTATCAAAAAATATAAATATCTCTTCAGACAGCTAAGTTAAGAAAACTATGTGCCACGGCACTGTTTGGTGATATCGTAACAATTTGCTTTCGGGTATTATTTGTCCTTGAATTCTTTAGTTATTGGCCAAAGCAGACCTATAAAATATACAGGGAGTTCTAATATTCAGAGGAACAACTACGTGTTTTTTGAATCAAAATAAGTTAATTGTGTCGGCCGTTGCGTCGATGGAGTTGGAAAATATTTATACTAAAATTTATGTAGGGGTGGGGTGTAAGCCAAATGTTAGAGCACTTAGCAAAACATAGACACCCAAAATCTAATTCAAATAATAACGGTTTTTGAAATATCTGAAAAAATGTGTTATTTTTTTTTAAAGTTTGATGGCCTCGAGCGTACAAACGGAGCACTTTTGTATAGAGGTAAATTGTGTCCAATGAACTTATTTTGATTCCAAAAATACGTAGTAGTTCTATGTCCACGGAATATTGGGACTCCCTGTATAGTAGAAGGAACGATTTTGAAAAATGACATCCAAATATTAACAGAAAAAACAGACAGACAATATTATCATGAACAGAATTCTATCGGTAGACAGAATACAGGGTGTTTCAGAAAACATGCAATCTTTCGTAGGAAAATTCTTCACATAAAAATAAGATTTATTTCTATATCAACATAGGTCCGGTTCTGCTTTGTTATATAGCTACAAAGTTCAAAAAAACTTCATTTTTTTATATTTATTATAATTTTCTTAAATGTTTTTGCTGATTAGAATGAAATTTTGAGGATAAAAGTTATTATAAGTATTACATATTTTAGTAGTAAAAAATGGTAAATAAAATAATGGTATTTAGGATCTTCTCTAGGAAATCTCTCTAGGAAAAGACGAATATTTTTTCAGTTTTAAAATCTTATAATTGTAAAACTATGCGTTTTCGCACATATATTTATATGAACATTTCTCATATTTTTTGATGGGGAATCATTAAGTACTTATTTAACACTTTGGCCGGTTAATCGCATTAATTATTTTAAAGGTTGCTATTACGAGTAGACTTAGATTAAAGCAAATTAATAAAATTACGTTATCTCATGAAAGAGACTGAAATCGACAAAATATCAAAAGCAAACTTTTAGTCGGTATTAAACGGTCTACACGACTCTGCTAGCAAGAGATAAAAGTCAGTAGCACACAAGTTTTTTTTTAGAAAAATATTCTAGTGATAACTTATGTGCATGACCGAGGTGAATCTGTTGCCACTTTTTTAGTATTAAAATATGTAGCACTTATTGTAACTTTTACCCTCAAAATTTCATTCAAATCCTTAAATGTATTTGGAAGAAAATAATAATAAATCGAAACATAGCAGAATCGGACCTATGTTGATATGAAAAAAATAATCTCATTTTTACGTGAGGGATCTCTCCATGAGAGATAACACATGGTTTTTTAAACACCCTGTATAATCACCATTTTATAAGGATTGTAAGAATTGGTAGTGTGTTTCATTTTTCCTCCATTTTATAACAGCGAAAAAGTTTTCTTTAATTCCGTGGTGAAAAATTAGAGAGAATAAAAGAAATTATCAAATCCGGCCAGGACCGTGAAAGCTATATCCTCGGTTTCATGGCATAGAAACTCGTATAACGCGCGCAGCACTCACACACATCCAACCACTAGACTTTCGAAACCCTTTTATAAAATTTATGATTATTACTTTACATTTTCTTGCTGGCGCGAATTAAATTTTTAATTCGCTCTGAAAAGTTTTCTCGTTTTAGTTCGATGAAGAAAGAACTATTAAAGTGCGAGAGACTTCCAGGTCGCGGAAGAACGGACATTTTCCATTCGAAATCAATGGTAAAAAAGTTTTTATTCGATGAATAAACGTGTCTTTTATTGCCCGTTTTCTTCCGGAATATCCCGCTATATATATATATAATTTACGTTCTAGAAAAATATATTAAGAAGAATTTCTCAGCGGCAGAGCTTCCATTGATGCGGGTGATGCGTCGCATCCCTTCAAAATATTGTAGTAGGTTTTTATTTAAAAAGTCACTTTTTAAATAAAAAATTGTCAGTAAAGTTATTCAAATAATTAAATTCAATTTCAACAGATACGGTATATAGATTAATTGCCAGTTACATATTACAGCCCCTTGTAGTGACGCCACCCTACGCCGCTGGAATTTATTTCTTGGGCTATTTATTTAAATGTTTCAATAAGTAATTACCGTTTAGCAGCTATACAGTTTACATAATCCTATGACATTAATAAATATCTGTGTTTTGATAATTTCAGAGATAATAACAAATAAATAAAAAATATATTTTTTTAGCCTAAAAAAATTATTAAAAATACAAGGACTGTCCTGAAATCAAAATTATACTATGCTTTTACTATAGATGGTATATACGTGCCATAATAATCGTAATCTTAAATCATACAGCATGTTCAAAATGTTACGCCAAACTTTCTAAAATATAAAATAGTTTTTCTTCTTTTTTCAAAATAAAATACTATTATTATTTTTTTTTATTAAATGAAGAATTAATAAGTGAACATTTTTTTCATTTTTTTTTTGTATTTAAGGGTTTTCAAAATTTTTAACGGTTTCGCAGATATTCGCTGTATTGTTACATATGGGATTTTCACCGGTAAATTTTTTTGTCAAAGATACCTGATGTTTTTCTTTCTGATATTTACCGTTTAAAGAACCATATATGTAATTTAATAATAAAAATAATTATATCTCCATCTAATAAAAAATAATATACAGGGTATTAATTTAAAAAAAACGAAGAAAAGTTACTTTATAGTTTAAAAAATTTAGTATGGAACTGTCAACATTCTGTATGATTTGAGATTAATATATTTATAATAAAGTAAGTACAGACATACAGTTTTATTTTAGGACACATCTTAGGTATATTTTTAATAATTAAAAAAAAAGATTGAAAAATATATTTTTTCCTTTATTTATTTATATTTCTGAAACCATAAAAACAAATTTAATAATATCTCAGGACTTTAGGACTATGTAAAATGATCAGAAAGAGAGATAAAATTCAATAATATACAGGGTGTCCTATTTAAAAAAATCATCCCAATCTACTCACACTTTTTTGAGCCACCCTGCAGAAGTTCCATAAATATTTTCCTGAAATACATCCTGGTACATACTTTAGATTTTTACATAAACAAAATTCCCAAGTTGTTTATTCCAGGAGCTACAAATGCCCGACGCACTTTTGCCGGACCCTGTATATAACAATACTTTTTGAACAAATACTTTTATATCAGTAAAACCTCTATTTTTTCTTTTTTTTTCAGTTCCCCCTCATCAATTAATTTTATATGACGGTTCTGGAAGAGATGTATCGGACATAGTAGGACCTCTGGAAGAAGGATCCAGTCTTACCCTAACCTGTGAAGCTAGAGGAGGTAAGTTTATTAATAAAACAAATAAATTTATATAAAAATAAACTTTTAATCGGCATTAAATAGCCTATACAATTTTGCCAACAAAAGAAAAAAAGTCAGAAGCGCACATGTTTTTTTTTTTTTAATATTTCAATGATAACCCACATACACGTCTCCTGTGAGTCTGTCAACAATTTTTTAGTACTATAGATATGTACTAAGATATGTGACACTTATACATTTTCCCTCAAAATTTTAATCGAGTGACTAAAAGCACTTTAATCCCCTGTTGTTACGAAACAAAGCAGAATCAGACCTATGTTCATATAAAAAATAATTTTTGTTTTTACATCAATAATCTCCCCACGAGAGATAGCATATGTTTTTTTAGACACCCTGAATAACGTTCTGTATAGCTTTTCTGTAGATACGCTAGACAGGGTGGTCCGAACTGTATTCCGGAAACTTCGGCAGCATATTCTGCAAATAAAAATAAGTTAAAAATGCCTATAAAAGTATGTCCTAAAATGCTTAGTTTGGGAGATACAGGGTGTAGAAGTTTCATTTTTATTTTAATTTTTTCCAAATAATTTCTGAAGTAACGTCAATATTTCGATGAAAATTGCTGTCTAGTAATTTTTTGACATGAGAAATTTGATTTTGATATCAATATGACTCCTACTTACAGAGGGCGCCACCTACATGTTTTTAACTGGTTTGGAGAGTAATAACTTTTCGTCCGTACCTGTATAAAACTACTTATTAAAAAAATATACATTTACGACGTTTTTTTACGTAGAAAAGATCTCTTGGTAAAAATCGTTACAAGTATTGGTTCTTTAGATATTTGGAATCGAAATTATCAGTACCTACCTGTCGTCATTGAGATAAATTTTGACTAAATAGTTATTGGACTGAAATGATAAATTGGTAATGTTTTTGTGCTAAAAGTTCAACAGAAACTGTTTTATCATCATTTTTTCAAAGAAAAAATTATGATTAATAAAAAAAAATAAAAAATTCCCAAATTTATCATTTCAGTCAAATAACTATCTACTCGACATTTCTGTATTTTGTCAATAATGACATGTATTGACTATTTTCATTCTAACTATCTTGAGAATGGTTGCTCGTAGCGATTTTTACCAAGAGACATTTTTTACGTAAAAAATCACGGAAATGTATATTTTTTTATTCAGTTTCATTAGTTTTATACAGGTACGGACGAAAAGTTATTACTCTTCAAAATAGTTAAAACACATGTAGGTGGCGCCCCCTGTTAATAGGAGTCATATTGACATCAAAATCAAATTTCTCATGTCAAAAAACTACCAGATACCAATTTTCATCTAAATATTGACGTTACTTCAGAAATGATTATTTTATTTTACAATATAAGAGCAAAATAACTGTCTAAACTAGAAAAATCAATTTTAATTCTTACACCTAAGACATAATTCTTATCAATTTTTATCATTTTGTATATTTTTTGACTTGTAAAAATACTTTTCTTGTATGCTATTAATAATAAATAAACTAAACTAAACTAAACTAAATTATTTGGAAAAAATCTAAATAAAGATGAAACTTCTACACCCTGGATTTTCGAAACTAAGCATTTTAGGACATACAATTATTATATGAACTTTTTGACTTTACTTATTTTTATCTACAGAGTATGCTGCCAAAGTTTCCGAAATACAGTTCGGACCACCCTGTATATATTTATCTAATTCCTAAATGTCCAATATCCAAAAATGATTCTTGCCACTGTCTTTTTAATAAAAAGTAATCTAAATTTGCCAATTTTTGTATATATTTCCTTTAATTTAATTTAATTTAAATTAATTAACTGCCTCTATTTCCTCAAATTAATTTGACAAGCCAAATTAATACATCAAACTAATTAGATTGTTGAACTCACGTGACTTATTATTATTCAAATATTATTCTAGCAAATTGTACAACCCTACAAAATTCAACAGGTCGATCAATAGACAGCCTTTCATATAAAGGCGTCTTGTCTCTCTCCTTAAATAAACTCTGACCTCTATTTCCCACGATTTCTTCGATAATCCTCCGCTTCCAGACAATCTAAGAGATTGTTTCAAGGATCGAACGAACTATTTTCTAGGGAGGGTATCGTGTTGCAGTACAGAACTTCAAAGAGAGAGAGAAATAGAATTATTATTGTTCGTACTTAAAAAGTTCCTTCGGTCACTATATTCATTGTTGTTCTAGCCGCCCAACCTCTACACTTGTATAAAAGATTGACTATTCATATACAGGGTGTTCCTTAATGACATGTTAATATCTAAGCGGACGATTCTTGGACCTATTTAAAAAAAACTTCATATGAATGTGTGTCCTAAACATCTTAACTTTTAAGATGCAGGGTTGTAAACTTTTCTAAAAAAAAAACACTTTTTTAGTAATAACTATGAGATTGTTATAATTATCTTTATGAAATTTCATACACGTCTTCTATGCATACAACTGTCTGTTTTTGCAATTATTTAGTTATTTTTTCAAGTAAAATCTAATTGATACTTATAGAGTCTGATCTATGTTATAGTAACGATTTTATTTAAACGAAACAATTATTATAGAATTCTCTTCTTCTCTTCCTCAACCCTGTTTCATCCACTCCTGGATATAGGTCTCTCCTATCCTTTTCCATGTTTCCCTGTTTTGTGCTGTATTTAACCACCGTTTACCTGCCACTTCCCTTATGTCGTCCACCCAACGTTTCTGTGGACGTCCAACACTTCTTATAGTCCTGAATTATATCGGTAACTCTTGTTTGCCTCCTGGTGTTTTCATTACGAATTTTGTCTCACAGACAGACCCCTAGCATACATCATTCCATAGCTCTTTGAGTTGTTAAGAGTTTATTTGCAAATGAAGCAGCCCTGAAAATTTTGCACTTATTTAAGACTCACCCTGTATATGTTGGTATCTTCAGAGCTCAGTACTTTTGTTTTATTAAAGTTTATACTTAGGCCTATCTTTGCAGCTGATAGATGTAATTCATTTAACATTTCATCTAGTTTTGTGATGTTGTTACCTATTAGAACTATATCATCTGCAAATCTGAGATGGTTTAGTTTGATACCATCTACGCTAATGCCCTTGGTGTCCCATTGCAACTTTTTGAATACTTCTTCTAGTGCTAGAGTAAACAGTTTAGGTGACATGGTGACATGGTGACATGGTTTCATACCTCCATCCAATACTATTCTGTTGGTCGTAGTTGTTGCATCTAATATAATATGAATTGTTGCATCCTGGTAAATATTTTCAATGATTTGAGTATATCTTGAGTCTAATCTTGCATTTTGTAGAGCTGCTAATATTGACCATATTTCAATGGTGTCGAAAGCCTTTTGAAAGTCAACAAATGCTAAATGTATAGGTACATTGTACTCTGTACATTTTTCTATAACGGTACGGACTGTATTGAGATCTATCGTGCTATATCCCTTTCTAAATCCTGCTTGTTCGACGGGTTGTTAAAAATCTAATTTTGAAGTTAAACGATTAGTTATAACTTTTGTAAATAGTTTATATAAATGTGATAGAAGGGATATAGTCTATAATAATTTTCGATGTTTGTGTTGTCACCGTTTTTGAGTGAGAGTAGTATTACCTCAGAGTTACACCATTTAATTGGAATTTTACCGGCATGTAAGCATTTATTCAGCAGTACACTTATTGCTTCTCGTACAGTCTCTCTCCTCCTAGCTTTAACATTTCTGTACTGACTTGGTCTTCTTCTGGACATATGTTGTTCTTCATCTGTTTCAGTGTTGTGGTTATTTCGTCTTGTGTAATTTCTGGAATATCCGACATTCATGATGATTGTTTTTTCTATTTGATTTTGGGATATGGATGAATATAGAGTAGTGTAGAAATCTTCCATGCCTTTAATGATATCATTTTTGTTTTGTATTATAATGTTGTTTCCGTCGCATATTTTTGTTATTTTAGTTCTGCCATTAGAAAGTTTTCTTTTTAGTATTTTCATTTTACAATTATCATTTATAGTATCTTCTACGAGTTTTGTGTTGTAGTTTCTTTTGTCTTTCCTGATTTCTTTTTTAACCTTTTTATTTACTTCCTTATAATATTCGGTTGTTTTGTCGGTTGTGTTTCACCTCTTTTTTAATAGCTCTACTGTATTATGACTTAGCTTTGGGTCTTTGTAATTCCTTGTTCTTGAACAGATTTTTATTACTGAAGTTCTTTAAACGCCTGTAACTTTGACTGCGAGTTTATCAATTACCAGTTGTTCAGAATTTATTTTAGTTATTCTCTGGGCAAAAATCCAAACTTTCAAAAAAATCACCGGTTATCCATAAACGTCTGACGTGCCATGGCTGTAAGTCACCCTGTATATTCGTTGAATATTAAGCATATACAGTTTGTTAAAACATATAAGCTCAGATCTTTAATTTAACACAAAATTATTAATAAAATTTCGTGATTTAGAGAACCAGGACGCGAATACCGGAAAAATAATAATCCGGATATTTTTTCATTTACTCCCGACCCCGCCGCATATTTTCTCCATCGACTGGCGGCAGAAAATTTACATTTTTCTTCTGCGAAAAAAGCATTTCCTCCTTTTTTCACCCTCCATCGCTTTATGAAAAAATTAATGGCAGGTTAAAAAGAAAAATGGCGTTGTAATGAAGGCGACGATAAAAACGCGAACACTTGCTCCTAATGGGTCATTATAGCATTTCATAATTTATAGCCCAACTTCGGCGCTTCCCTGTCTATTTTCGGGGGCTGTTTCTGAAAAATAACGATCGTCTATGGGACCGAAATAGCGCTAATGTTGTGGAACGCCTTCGGAAATTTACCAGAAGAATCGTTATTAGTGGCTAGTTTATTTAAACGCTATTTGTTAGACTGGAGTTATTTTTTATATAGAATTGCTTGGGGTTCAGAATACCAAACAAATATTTAAGAAAATTAAGAAAATTACGCTTTTATTAGATATTTAATTAATAGAT